TCCCTACACCTTGGCAACAGAAACAACATCCTCAATAGAGCTGCAGTCATTCATTCCCTTGACACTCATTTCTGAGCAGACGATCCCGGCCTCTCGCAACCTCCCCTTCTTTTCAAGTCCATCTGTAAGCTCATTGCATGTGGAGACGTTCAGAAGAAAACCATTCTCAAACATTTCCCTATACCAAAAATATGCACCACTGAAGTCCTTGAGTTCACAGTGTCCCTTAACAAGTAAGTTATAAGTATCAGCTTTAGGAGCCAATCCTTGAGCCTTCATATCATCCACTAGGCCCTTTACCTCTGAAATTTTTCCTTGTTTGAAGTGCCCCAGAATCAAGCTATTATATGTCATCTTGTCAACATTAATCTTCTGGTTCACCATCTCAGAGTGCAAAGAAAGTGCCTTTTGAGTGTCTCCTTGCTCTGCATAACCGTGAATGAGTGCATTATAAACAGCCCGATCGGGAACCAAACCCATCTGCAGCATTTCGCTAAACAATTTATCTGCCAATGCCATATCTTCCCTGCTACATCCACTAATTAGAGGATGATATGTATATATAGTCGGTTTGATGCCCAAATTCTTCATAGTTTCATATAATTCCAGACATTTCTGGGTGTTTCTTATGTCAGAATAACCTGAAATTAGGGAGTTGTATGTGATCACATCAGGGCTATAACCGCCACTTGTAATTTGAGAGAAATAGTCTTCAGCTTCCATTACCCTTCCTTTCTTGCAGAGTCCATGAATGAGTGAATTGTAGGTTATAAGTGTTGGAGTTATCCCAGTGCTTGCCATCTCATCAAAAAATCTGAAAGCATCTTTCAGATTTCCAACTGTACAGCTACCACCAATGAGCATATTATATATTTGTGCATTTGGGGAAATCCCTCTGCTTATCATGTCCCTCAGTGCTATTTCAGCTTCAAGAAGCCTCCCATCTTTACATAAACCATTTATAAGAGAACCATAGCTCACAACATTTGGCTTAATCCCCTTATTTTCCATCTCTTCAAGAATCTGGAAACACTTGTCGAATACGCGCATCTGCCCGTAGCCATTAATAAGGGTGTTGTACGTCTCCAAATTTGGGCAAACTCCCTTCTCTGCCATCTTCTTCACCCATTCCTCAGCGGTATCCATATCCCTTGTCTCACAGAATTTGTCAATCAAAGTATTGAAGGTGATGCAATTCGGCCTTAACCCATGAATTTCCATTTGTTCAACGGCCAAAATGGCTCTGTTCATGTCACACCTTCGACAATAACCGTTCACGATGGTATTATAAATTACTACATCTGGAACAAAACCAGTTTCCATTAATTTATTCAAAACCTCTTCTAGCTTCTCAACGTTTCCTTGCTTGCACAAGCCATTCAACAAAACACTCCAAGTATAACGATTAAGCTTCACACCTTTCCTGGTTGCTTCTTCAAATAAAGCCAGTGACCCCTCACTATCACCACACCTGAACTGCCCATCAAAAAGAATACTATAAGTAAAACCATCAGGCGCAAAGCCATGAGCTTCCATCTCTTCCAAAATCTTTTTCGCATCGTCCATTCTCTTAGCCCGACAAAGTCCACTAAGCATAGTATTATAGGTGACAATATTTGCCGCCACATTCTCATCCTTCATCCTCTCTCTCAGTTCAAACGCCTTCTCCAACTCCCCCACCTTACAAAACCCATCAATCAGCGTGTTGTAGGTAACCAAATTTGGTGCCGTCTTTCCCTCAATCATTTCATCAAACACCTTCTGTGCATCCCTCATTTTATTCTCCTTGCACAACCCACCGAGCAAAACATTATAAACAAACACACCGAGACTCATCCTCTTCGTCTTCATAGAATTCACTAGCTGACCAGCCCTTTCCAGGTCCCCCATCTTCACCGCAGCCTGTACCGCCTTCCCATAAGTGAATCTATCGGGTCGAATGCCCTGACCCGACTCAAAAATCTCCGAAAACAATTCGAGGGTCTTACCAAACTGTTTTGAAGTCACCAAAGATTCAAGCATTGCATTGAGAGAAGCTAAGCAAGGACGCGTACCGGTTTTCCTCATCAAGCCGTACAATTCTACTGCTTCCTTCGGCATCTTAGACTCCGAACAAGCGGCTAAAAGCATGTCAGAAAATGTGGGTTTCATGGAGGGTGCAGAGAGAGAAAAGAGGGTGTAAAGATCAGTGGGCGAAGAGAAGGGCGAGTTGGGGAGGATGAGGGACTTGATGAGCCTCCTTGCAGTTTCAGAACGACCCTGTTGGAGGAGAACTCGGAGCTTTCTGACTTGCTCATGGCGTTGTTGGTCTTGGAGGTTGGTGAGGCTTGTGGGGTTGTGGTTCTCTGTTTGGTCTTCGATTTGTGGTTGATGGGTTTGGCCGGCAGCAGAGTCTGTGCAGATAGAGAAGGAGAGAGGGACTGAGATGACATTTTGGGATTTGTTGGGGGCAGTGAATGGGGATTTAGGAAGAAGACAGGCGCGCCTTGCCATTTTCAATTTTTCAGTGTCTTAGAAATACCTGGTTTTTTATCATAAACCCTTCTTAAACCTTCTTCGTCTTTTGTCCTTGGAAATTTAAAATAAAAAAGATAAAGAGAACTTCATATTGGGTTTTGAGGTCAGAGTCTTGTTTCACTATATAGCCCATGGGTTTTGAGGTCAGCCTCTTTCTTGGGCTTTTCATTGGCCCACTAACTTTTTTTGGGCTAAGTCTAATTTAACTTTCAAGCATATTACGTTTGGTGCTCGAAAGCAGGATCTTATAGCTCAAGTAGTTAAGAATCTTTAGTTCATATTTAGTGATTGGGATTAGATTAGAATATAGGGTATACTTGGATTGAAATGATAACACTAATCCAATTATGTGTTTGGTACTACACATGATTAAGGGGTCAGATGAATTGAAATGTGCTATTACAGGCATAGTAGGATAAGATATAATCCAATCCAACTTCGTCCAACATTTTGGCATGATTCATAATCCTACTACATTTGATCCTAGTAGAATTAGACATAATCCAATCCATGTTTTTCTAGGCCACCAAAATTTGACTAGGATCATGAATCATATACATTTTGTGTATCCCCACACAAAATGCTCGCATGTGGCAATGTTCTTATATCTCATGTAATTAAGAATATTTGTTATATCCACACAGAAAATGTTACAAGTAGTAAGGAGCGTGTAATTTAAATGATTAAGAGCACTTATTGTATTCGCACAAAAAATGCGTTAATGCTGGAATGGTGTTATGGTACCCACCACCTACTCAAATGGCTGGTTGGTTATGGTGTTGTAGCTCACAGCTGTTGGTGCTGGACCAATAAAGTTGTAGGGCTATAGTCCATAATTTTTCTATATATCAAGCCTCTCATGCGTGCATAAATGAGAAAAAGACTTTGTCTCTTAGTCACTGTGTTAAGTGTCTTTGGTGGATCTTCATTAATACGAAAAGGAATTGTTCCAAATATTCTTTAGCTTGGTCTGCAAGCATCATGCAGGCATGGGAGACCAATACACAGTTCCAATTTCATCTCTCACCCAACTGTGGGGCTATAGAAAGGTCTTGGCTCTATTGTCAGTACTAGTCTTTTTGTATTTTCTCTAAAAGATAAGATTGCTGTGGGTGCTATCTGAAGGAATGGTGTTGAATTATTTGTAGTTATCAATCGCAGTGGATAGTGAATCTTTTTTGAAATGTGAAAACTTGTACACAATTGGAGAGAGAGAGAGAGAGAGAGAGAGAGAGAGAGAGCACATCCCATTTCCATGGAGTTTATTCCTTTGATAAGCATTTTTAGCAAATCCAAACAAGAATGGAAAACAAAATGAACAACAAAAAGATCTGAAAAATCTCAGAATTACAAGCAATCCATACAAAGATGTTTTCTCTGATTGGGGTCAGCACCCTTGAGTTACCTTGACCTTTTGCCTTTTCCTTTGTGTTGCACTCCCATAACAAGAACAATCTGTAAATTTAATTTCCTTACTTTTTTTTAATATTCACAAGAGAACAAATTCTACGACTCATCCCGAAATCTTATGCTGTACCCCAAAAAAAAAAAAAAAAAAAGACCACCCTTTTTCTTTTCTTGTTTGTCTCTCTTTTTACAAGCTTGCTACTATTTTGCTGAAGAAGAGAGCGATTCCGGCATATAGTGACTGGCAGTTAACAGAATTTTGTAGTATTTCTGCAGCAGCCCCACTAAGAGTTGGGAACAAATGTCCCAACATACCCAAACCCAATGATATAGAAGGCCATTGCTTGGATGTAAAGGAAAAGGTAGAAGTAGTTTTTCCCAAAGGCGAAGTCATAAGTGCCACAGAAGAAGAGGTAACATCCAACAGCAAGCTCTAGCAAATGAAGTCTGTTAACATGTGAAAACACAAATGGAAAACCGACGTCAGGTATTATTGAACATCAAGGTCTTATTTTAGGGAGTAATACACAATTGAGTTCGCATAGGGAGTCCATGGGAGAATGCATACCTTTCTCCAATCCTGATTCGAGGTTTCCTGGGTAATTTTGCAGCTACTGTCAAAGTCTTGAGAGCATCTCCAAGTTTCTCAGTGACAATCCATTCATTCACTCGACTAGCCTCTAGCAGACCGATAATTGTAGCCTTCGTACGGTGTAGTGACATGACGTTCTCAAATAGGATCCAGAACACCAATAAGTGGAGTGACCTGCAAAATTGTAGAACAACATGAAAATGAAGAATGGAGAGAGCAGGGGCGCCAAATTACATGAATTTATTGCACAATAGCAAAAGCAAGATTAAGAAGCTAGTACACAGAATTGAACAAAAGACAAATACAAATCAAAATGGGAAAAAGCAGAACTTGAAAGGAAATTAGACCTTGGAGTGCCAACTGCATTGAGAAGAGTAATGATAGAAGGAATATAAATTCCTCCCCACTTTGGCACCACAACTTCAGGAACCAAAACTGTTGCCGGTAAGACAATGCAGTAAAAGACAAATGCGTTGATATGTGCTATGATCTTCCTGACGAAGAAGAAGCTGTAAATCACATGGACCTTCTTCCATAGTGATACTTTCTGCAGTAAACAGATGCAGATAAGGGTAAGTTATTTACTCATTTCCACTTCAACTCCTACAATTGGTTAAATTTGATGCAATGTACGAAAAAAGCTAACCTTGTTTCTTATAATTTCCATGACCATTTTCCTGAAAAGGTTAGCTGGACCACAAGACCATCTGTGCTGTTGGTAGCGGTAGGCCTTGAAAGTACTTGGCAATTCATTCTTCACCTGTTGCGAAAACAAAGTAAGGATTATGTCTGGAATTGGAAAGGCTCTACACTAAACATTGGTAATTAAAACGGCTATCCAAATAGATTAGACCGATGTTGCACTCGAAAGTGCAGGCATAATCAAAAGCTGATGATGAAATATAACTTGCAAATGTTTGAGAAACAATCAGTTCATCATAACTTCATGCCTTCAAGGGTCGACCGGATAAGACTGGTAACTTATGTGAATAATCAAATTTGTGACCTCTGCACATAGTTAGTGCCCATAGAGACTCAAAATACAACTAGATCATGCACACTAGGACTCATTTTCTATATAATTTCGTTTTCCTATCGTGACTGTTTTTGAGACAATTGAATCAGTCAGCTAAATATTCACAAATACATAAATGCAGGAAAAGGTACAAGCATGGGTCAACAGTGGTACCTTTATGCTACCAAGATACACAAATTTCCAGCCTTTGAGACTAGCTCGAACAGCCAGATCCATATCTTCCACTGTGGTTCTGTCCTTCCATCCTCCAGCCTCATTGATTGCAGCAATTCTCCATACACCAGCGGTCCCTATATCATCACACCAACAAAAGTTAAGCATACAATCTCAAACCCATTTTAGCCTAATTACTGTCATTTTATAACATAAAGACTACTAAAAGTACATATTTTTCCGACACTTGATATTGGCATAAGCTTTTGTCCAATATAAAATATTTTTATGGCACAATAATTGCTGTTAATTGGTAAATTACCATTGAATCCAAAGAAGGCATGAGTGGAGGAGCCCACTTCTTGCTCAACTGTGAAATGATAATCCAGTGACATTTCTTGCATTCTTGTCATCAAGCACTCATTTGAGTTCACTGCAAAAACATCCCAGAAAAGCAAATGCCAAGTCAGGAAAAGTAGAAGCTGAAATCTGCTTGACTTTCTTTATTGGTATAAATTACAATAAAGATATAGCAGAGAATTAGTTCAATTCTCTGTCACTTTTAGCAGGGTAGGCGGTGGCTAGGGTATAGTGAACAGAGGTACACCATTAATGTCACATGCTGCTGCCGGGTTGAGAAAGAAAAAGAATCCCATGTAAGACGGATTTACCCCTTACAGTGTCTTGCAATTTCCAGGTCCAAGCAGAACCTCTTACTTGTGCTCCAAATCTAGTACTTCCTATCTGGGAAACACTAGGCACATGGCAACATTCTTAGCAAAAAGAAGAGCTGCACACTAGGGCCCCCAAAAATTGTGTTCTGTTGTTGTAACTTCTATGCTATCCAAAATTTTTTTTAACAATGAAGGTATTCTAAACTATTCTAATGTACGAAAAGGGGGTTCGTACACGGGTGCAAGGCAAAAACTAATATTACTTTGCTAATGCACAAACTTACAAGTTTTATATTATATTTCAATGGTTATTTCAACGGTCCATCCAATTCTTCGGCCGCAAAAGTTGATGCTTTAACTACCATAAATGAACCATGTTACAAGTTAATTATTTTCAACCTGTCATGTCTAATCTGCCCCAAAATGTGTCACATTAAAGCTTGGAGGTTATGTATGGGAAGGACTATCCAGCTAAGAGCTCTACTCTTTTCCATTTGTGACCACTGATGGCAGAACCCACCAACAAACAATAAATCAATTCAAGCACAAATGTATCAGACATCTTAAAACAGACAAAGGGATGGAAAATAACATCTGGGTTCTCTGGTCCTTTTGAAAACAGCACCAAATGCCATTGAATTTCACAATTGATTTTTCGTGTGGGTTGGTTTTAGAATACGGGCCCCAAGCAAAGAAAGCAGACAGAAAGGTCACACACATGGAAAAACCAGTGGCAGCCACGGCAATAGTAAAAGGCAGAAGGTGGGGCCCAGCTATTTCCTAGAAATCTTCTCAAACAAGCACAGACGCACCGACAGTTTTTTTTATGGCAGAACTGTTTTTAGAATCCAACCAAAATAAAGTATACCAGATTAAATAACTAAACTAATTAAACCAGTGGACTTACCGAATTTCCAGCGAGTCTGAACGAGAGCAAGCTCAGGGTTGTGGACAAGGAAGGGAATGGTGCGGCAGAGAAAATCTGACTCAGGTTGGAAATCAGCGTCAAAGATGGCGACATAATCGCAGTGTTTAACGTAGCTGCGCTTCAAGCCTTCTTTGAGAGCCCCAGCTTTGTACCCATTTCTGTTGTCTCTTATCTCGTACTTGATGTTTATGCCTTTGCTTGCCCATCTTTGGCACTCT